TATATAATTAAAAATAGTGTAATGTGAAAAATGGATTGTTACAATTATAAATTATTCATATATTAGGGTAATTTTTGACCTTATATTTATGCTCATTTAATGCTCAAAATAACCTCCAGATACATTAGGGTAATGCAAATTTGTGTATAAATGTGCATATACAAGTTTTATTTAAAATCGCTCAGGTGCAGTCTGCAGGAACCATTATTATTTTAGAAATGTCTTGTATTTGTCATAAGATTTTTGAGAGGATAGACATCGGCTTGAGGGCTGTGTAATCCTCTTTCTATCAATTAAGCAGGTTTTTTTGGCTTGCATCTCCTCTCTCTCTCTTTCTGTCAACATTGCAGTAGTGTAAGATCTCATGTCAACACTGAATGATCTGAGATTGCATATCTCAGAAGATGATCCTCCAGTCAAAAATCCTCCAGGCAAATACATAATTCAGTACAACATCCTCCTTTTCTATATAAAATCACTTTAACGGTGATGTGTATAATGTTTTGATGTTAAATTCTTTCTCCTGTTCCAGTTTAATGTGCAGAAACAGTTCTAAGTAAGAAATTTGTAGGTTGACTTCCTGAAGAGTAAGTATTTACCTAACAACCACAGAGAGAACCCTAGCAACCACGCTAGGACCATTGCACAGGCAAAAACCACTCACATTTTGAATGTAATGAATGTACTTATTTTTGCAAATCAGGTACATAACAGGTTTCTAGCTTAAGGGTTTGTTGAAAGATTGTGTGCTTAATGAGCCCTGGTTATTGAATATATTGTAATATATTGATTCATATCAGTAGTCACACACCAATGTTTCCTTGTCTCTCATTTCAGCTACATTCTAATTCAGACAAAGGCGACGGTTCAGTCAGGTACATCCTTAGTGGTGAAGGAGCAGGAAGTATCTTCATCATCAACGAGGTAACGGGAGACATCCACGCCACCAAAAGCCTGGACCGGGAAAAGAAATCACATTATGTTCTTCACGCACAGGCCATAAACCTCAACAGCAACAAACCCCTGGAGCCAGAATCAGAGTTCATTATAAAAGTTCAGGATATTAACGACAACGCCCCCAAATTCCCCGACGGACCCTTTGTCACATCTGTGCCTGAGATGTCGGAAGTTGGTGAGATTTCCTAGTTTTCTTATGATCTTTTTTGTCCAGCACTTGATTAGGGCTGGGCGATTTTCCCGATTTTATCGATTAATTCGAATTTATTGTTTTGCCACGATTTAATTTTTTAGAAATCGAGGAATCGCGATTTTGAATAGAAATATTACCAAATGTTAGAATTAGACACTTTGACAATATGCCGGTGACAACAGTAAAGAGAAAAGAACGATCCAACCGCATGTCGGTGCAAGTGATTAGCCGCTCACGTGTGATGTGCTCTGTGAAGGACCATTAATATAGCGCTAAGCGCCATTCACACAGAATGCGCTTTTGTGTTGACAAAGATGCGACGCGGGCAGTGGAATAGGTAAAACATGCAAGAAGATGGGAGTGAACTTCTTTTAACTTGAGCGCAGTGTTTTTAGAATGCCGTTTCATGCATAAGACGCTGCAATAGACGCGATCGCAACAGTCAAATACATTCATATTTACACAGAAAAAACAATGGAAAAGCAGCGCAATCGAATAAAAAACCTGTAAAGAACTTCTACTGTATGTCTGATATTTCATGTTTGCATCAAGGTGACAGGCTGAAAGCTGCTGTTGTTTTTAAAGAACATTTATAGTTAATAATAATCTACTGGTGTTATACCTTCAGTAATTTTGAATTTGAATTACCTTGACTTTTGAGATTTTTTATAAGCATTTTCCTCATATTATTTCTGAACACATAATATGTATAAGACAAGTTTGTACAATATGTAGTTGTAGTTTATGCATCTTTTCTGCAAAGATATTTAACTATGAAATATCAAGGATATTTAAGTGATTTGTTTAACATTTACATCATGTTGACAACTTCATGTGTACTGCACTTAGAATATAATTTTCTTTCACTAGAGGGTTAATAAAGAAAAAGTTACTTGAATCATTTTGTAGTTACATTTTCAAGTTGACTAGTAAAAAATCGTAAAAAATCGAGAATCGGTCAAACATTCTGGAAAAATCGAGATTTTAATTTTTTGGCAAATTGCCCAGCCCTAGCACTTGTCCACACTTGTACTTGTCTGTTAAAAAGTGGTGTGTGCAAATGTGTGTGTGCAAATTCAAAAAAAACAAATTAAATAGCTGTCAAAAAAATATTCTAACCAAAGGGCTTGTACTGGTTCAAACTCATAAGCTGTCACTCTCTAAGATCCATCACTTCTAATTCAGATCTCCCAGATTCACTCCAAATGGCTTTTTTTCTATCCAGCCTTTGGCTTTTATGCTGTTGTTTTGTGTTTTGCGGCTGGAGTTCCCGCAGGAGCCCGACAGCTCTTAGAGAGCACTATGTGCTCATGATTTCTGCAGAACGCTCCACTTCCACTAGGAGAAATAGTGAAAAAATATACAGAGAGATTCCCTTACAGTAGGGTTTCCCCAGGGTTTGCGAACCCCTAGGGGTTTGTGATGGAACTGCAGGGGGTTTATGAGATTGTGATAGAAATACTAATGTGGAATAAGTTAATGCATTAACTTATGAGCTCAATAAAATTTGTTGAATACTGCTAAATTTAATAGATAATTTAAATTTAAAAACAGCAAATAATTATATATTTAATTATATTCATATATGTATATATAAATGTAAAATAAACATTTTAGCTGTTTTATTTATTTATATTTTGATTTAAAAAAATATATATATATGTTGCATACTTTATATTTCCCTCATGTATTTTATATTTCCCATTGTTGCACAGTGTTGTCACTATTAAGTGCAAGCAAATGGGGGAATTTTATTTTTAATTTTATATAAGTTATTATGTTCATATTATTAATTAATATAATCATTCATATTTCATTTTTGCATATTTGGGTCAAGTTTTGTCTAGTGTATGCATTAAGTGTTGAGTTTAGTTTATGCATCCCTTGTTTTTTCAAACAGTTTGATGAATGTAATGCAATGTACTGATTTTAGAAATGGATGCATTGAATAATTTCACATTTCTTGCTTTCTTTTTCATACACTGACCAAGGGAGGATTTTTTAAGCACCATTTCAAAATAACAAATAGCTGAATATGCACAGTACTTTTATAAATTTGTTTATCCATGTATTTTATCCTCCTAGAAAAGTAGTTGTATTTAGGTATTTAGATCATAAGAGGTTATGAACCAGTGGGTAACACTTTACTTGAAGGGGTGTGCATAAGACTGACATGGCACCTTCATAATCATGACATGACACAAGTCATGAATATGAAGGAGGTTTTATGCATGTTTATGACAACTGTCATTAAGTGTAATTCGCTCAGTTATGTCATTTTTAATGCAAATATGACATTATGTGACCTAACCCTAAACTAACCCTAACCCTACCCCTACCCTTACCCCTAACCATAGCCCATAACAAAGACATCTCAAACAATGTCATCTTTGCATTAAAAATGACATAACTGAGCGAATTACACTTAATGACAGTTGTCATAAACATGCATAAAACCTCCTTCATATTCATGACATGTGTCATGTCATGATTATGTAGGTGTCATGTCATGATTATGAAGGTGTCATGTCAGTCTTATGCACACCCCTTCAAGTAAAGTGTAACCAACCAGTGCTTTAGAGGAACGTTTCTCCTGTAAACTCACTTCCAACCCACACACAGTATGTCACTGCTGATTTCCAGAAAGTTCCTATTATGTTATTGATATATCAGAAGTGAAATATTTTATGTAATATGTACAGCATGTCGCTGCAGCACATGTTCGCACTCTCAGCCACGCCAGATATATTTTTTGGATCTCTCTGGGAGTCTTGAAGGCTATATTCCTGGCTCGCATGTACAAATGAAATATCTCTCTTTGTTTTGGCAGTGCGAAACACTTCTCGGTGGAGATTATGTCCTGTGGGTTTAGGAAGCTTTGTTTATTGTTTATTTAGGACCCAATTGGCTGTTGCCATAGCAACTGAAGCCCATACAATGATCTGTGATATCGTAAGACTAGAGTACCAGCTGCAATCAATGTTGAAGGAGACTATTATTGCCTGGATGTTGTTCACTACTGTTGGCGATTCATGCACAGAGTGGGTTCAAATCCCAATTACAGATGTCTTGGAGAACACGCCGCTGTTATGTTAGAGCTGTACTGTCCACTTCACCATCATAGATTAGTTTTCTCTCGAGGTGATGCTCTGCCTTTATAGGATATCAGTCTGATAGATGATCTATTTGTTCCTCTTGTTAAAAATATAACAAAATATATATAAATATAATATATATTTTCATATTTATATATTGTTATGACGTTTGGGATCGTTCAATTGTAAAAGTAATTGCATAAATTTTAATAATTTTAATATTTTTAATATGATCAAAAACTGTCAAAAACACAGTAACTGTCACAAGCCAGGCTCGAACTCGGGTCTCTGGCGTGGTAGTTGAGAGATCTACCACTAATCCATGGGAGTGGTAATGTTAAAATTAGGGGCCGTCCGGCGGCGGCGATTAGCGTGACATGGTATCTCTGGGAGGTTTGAAGAAGGGCCTGCCTAGCCTTCCTCCAGGTCTGCCGACAGCATTAGACAAAACGCTGGGCCGAGGGAATGCCAACCTGTGACACTTCCTCAGGAAACAATGGGAGGGTAAAGCCGAACTGGCATTCAAAGGGGGATAGTCCAGTGGCCGAGGACTGGAGGGTGTTGTGGGCATATTCAGCCCACATGATGTAGGTAGCCCAAGAGGTGGGGTTATTGGCCGCCATACACTGCAGGGTGGTCTCCAGATCCTGATTAATCCGTTCCGTCTGGCCATTAGACTCTGGATGGAACCCAGACGATAGGCTGGCCGTGGG